TCTGGACACGAGGCCGATACGATAAAGTATTTATCCGGATTCGAGAAAAACATATTTATGACGACAGGCCCTAAAATTGCAACCACAAAGCTGGTGGAGCCTTTGGGTTTGAAGTATAACTGTAGGGGAAAGGCTGGCGGAAATGTGGCAACAAGTGCAGAGGCTAAACATGGACTTTGACTGTGCAGAAAACGAATATATGTGGAGAAGAGGGATGACAGAGAGATACCGTGTGTGTGTTATTTTCTCATCTTGTAGCCTGAGTGCTTTTGGGATTTGAAAGAAGAGAGGCTGTGAAATCCCTGCTAATGCATTTTTATGTGTTTCAAAATTGCTTCTATTGACAGTCCTCCTAACACCATCAAATTTGTCCACGTCATGTTAAGGGACAGCGTACTGACAGTTTGGTAATGCAGCTGACATTACAGAATGATATTTACGAACAACAAACTAATATTAAGGTGTGATGATTAGGTAACTGAGCTTCCATGCCCTGCATGAGAGCAGAGCCGCAAAGGTTCACATGCAGTCAACTTTTCATGCCAACAAATGAAAAAGTGAAAATAATATGAAGCCGCAAATTGAAGGCAATATTATGACACAGATTATTCGTGCAACATGTCTCACAGGAGCTTGTCATTCATTAAAAGAAGACAAGGAAAACAACTGTAAGCCTTCTTGTCCAAACAAACCAGAAAGGTTAAATGGAGGGTATCAAAAATACAATACTGCAACAGGCTTGTTAGCTGTTGGCTTACTGACCACCTGCTAATGAGACCACTTATTATCTAACAAGCTACTGACAGTATATTTTTTCTATAGACTGGCATGCCTTATATAAATACATTTGAAGTCTGTACAGGATATTTGAATGTTAAAGATGAACTTAATGCGGTTTATATGACAGCTTCCACAGTCCTTCATTCATATCACAATCTAATTATTGCTAATAACGCTGCTATAATCAGTGTGCACACAAACATACTGTATGACTCCAGAAACAAAACACAAAAGAAGTGAACGTTCCTGATTTCCGCTGCCTGGCAGGTGCAACTGGTGGCGGTGAAAGATTTGAGAAATCCAAGCCCCTGAGCTCTCTTCTCCTGCCAGTGCTTTCAGAGGCCGTTTGGATTACTCTAACACAGAAATGAGTCATCAGCCGGTTGCGGTTGACACTCTGCTCATCCAGCCTAAAGCAGCGCCTTTATTTATTTATTTATTTTTATTTTATACGGAGAAGGCGTGCTTATTTTCAACAACACCCTGACTCACAGTCATACAGAGATATAAATTCCCTCCAGTTTAAGCGCATTTCTGTGGGAAAATATATTCAGTGGCAAACTGATCCCCCAAACTGCCATTAAGGCTGCAGACAGACACAAACACCTTATTTAATGGCACTGTAATAGTAGCTGTGAGAGGAGGAAGCACTGCCCTTTAACATTACGCATAAAAATGGGCCTCAGCAGACAAGCATACTTGTTTACAAAAGAAAAAGGAAATAATGACAATTCTCAAAAGAAAAAACTGGACTGACCCTAGAGAGCTGAAACCTCCTCAACTTGGGTTCATGTGTCTACACACGTACGCATGCACTTCTCCGTGCATGTGCCGTTTAACGTGAGCCCATGCCAGGCCTGCCCCCTCTGATAAGCAGGTCTGGTACACTTTGTGACTGTCTGATTGAGGTCCTCCAGCGAAGGCCGGCTGAAGTGGAGGGGGGTAGTTTGCATTCTTGGCCATTTCATGAAAAAAGGGTGCAACCATGGGAGTAAGCCAAGAGGAGGGCTCAATTATGCATGGTTAAACAAAGCCCAAGGCTACCAGTGAGCAATGTCTCAGCAAACTCGGCCTCACTCTGGAGCTCCCGACTCCAGGAGGACCCTACTCCTCAGAAAAAAAAAAAGAAGAAGAAAGAAACCAAAAAACAAACAGGGACATAGGAACGTAGCTCCTGATAAATCACTGGATTGTGTTATGACAAGTGCAGGCACTTTGAAACTAAACTTCTCAGAGGCCTTCAAAACACTGCTTAAAAGAAAACATTCCCATTCACATGAGGTCAAATGATACATCACAGAGTTTACGTTACCAATAAACCATCTTGAGAGGCAAGGCGGCCTGTGAAGCTATCAACAAGGACCTGCACTAAGCACAGTAAACGACTTGTGAACTAATCCTGGACATGATTTCTCCAATAAACGCAACAATAATTTTCTCAGGGGCTGTCTGTGGTTTTTGTCTAACAGCAATAAAGTCCCACATAGCTATTTTATGATGTAATTAACCCCCCCACCCCCTCCCCATAAGTAATCCAGTCACCCTTTAAGAGTATTTTTAGTCTTCAGAGGAAATAATCTGGCTGTCTCACAAACAAGTTTGATTGAAAGATTTACGTCTTTGCTTCATTTCATCGCTGAAAGCCGTTTTCGGAGTGTGGCTAGCTAATGACTCTTCAAAAAACAGCACTTATATCACGTATAACCAGATCAGAGGCTACTTTTCCACTATTCCACAGCGAACCCCACTACTTCAGCAACTGGACACTCGGCATCTGGCCCCTCTTTCTTCACACACACAATAAATCGGAAAAGTATGTGGCTTTGGTTACATGTAAATTATAGGCAGTTCTTCCAGAGCCGGAGGGGGTGGGGTGGAGGATCAGTATCCATGTATAGTACACATATGAATGGAAGCAACCTGGCTAAAAAGCTCTCTCCCGACATCTTCCTCTTGTTTCCCCGGGAAACAGGAGAGGAGGGCTGGAGTCGGGTGACAGGGATGTCCAAAAAACACACACGCACGCTCGCTCGCTCGCCACGCACACACGCACACACACACACACACACACACCATCTATACTGTGAACTCAACAGATTTAATTACAGTCTTAAAGATCAAATAATGTCTGCATTTTATTTCTTTGCAGCGTTATTAGCTTGTTCCTGCTGCAGAGAGAACTGAGCTGCCCTGCTGTTATTCTGCTGAACAGACCTCAGGCTGGAGGATCTTTTTTTAAGCAGCAGATGTTTTGATCCCCGACTGTAACACCACCTCTGACAGCAGGCTGGTGATACTAATGATGATTTTTCAGCAGCGACAGCAGCGGCTGAAGCTTAGAGCAAGGTTGTACGAAAGAACACAGAAATCTGCAGACAGGGAAGGTGGGAGGCTGGACACAAACTGAAGCACAAGCCTTAGCACACATTTTCCCACCGTTTTCTAAAGTCGGCGGTACAATCGATGGTGCGTGTAAGACGTGGGATGTATCTAAGGCGTGAACACGTCAGACTCATGGATTTTCAATTTTTCTGAAGAGCACTAAAGGATAAAGTGGCAAACTAACAGTCTTTTAGTCTCCAGACCTCCAATCACTGCCTCCATCTCTGATTTTGTCAGCAATGTCAACATGTGTGATGCTGTGCTCATTGACGGCTGTTTTTTCCTGCCGGAGAAACAATCGATCAATCAGAGCTTTGTGGGAGAGATTAAGAATGGAGGCATAATTTTCCTTGGTCAGAACCAGACAAATGGCCACAAAAAAGGGCGATAAGCGTGGGTGAGATCAACTGAGCTGTATGGGTTGTTGTGAGTCGACTTAGTTACAGATACAGATAACTCTTAAATCAACATATTTCCTGCTCATAGCAGCCTCTACTGCAGATTCCCTGTACAACAGAGGTTTTCAAATGGCAAAGAAGTGTTGTAGGGGGGTTGCATGGAGGGAGAGATGTGAGCCAAAGATAGTGTGTGAGACTGGTTATTGTAGTTTGTTCTGACGATTTGGCCCGCTTATCAGAGGCTGCAGCTGCAGCAGCTGTTGTGACACACAGCTCATGAAGACAATAAAGATAATACTTTAAAACCCTTAGGGCCCGACTGCCACAGTTTGCGTCAAAATTCGTACTCCTCAGAGTCATAACTCAGTTAAATCTGAATACACTGACATGAGACACACATTTTTAGGTTCACTGTGACTAAACCAAAGTGAATAAATGTCCATAAATCAGAATTTTAAAAAACTCGTTATAACTCGAGAACAGAGAATCATCAAATTCTTAAGTTGTCTTAAGTAATCCAGCGGTAATTGTCTGTGCATCCATCAGCACATTGCAAACAGGAACTGCTCATAGCTCGGAATACTGTTGATTCCAATTTGCTTAAATGTAAACAAATATAGACTCAAGATGTAATCTGCAGCGTAACTCACTGAATCCATACAGTAGTAACATTGTATTTCCTCTTTACATCCCCCAAAATATTATGGGAACTGTAGCAGGATTATCTCCCAAATAGCAGTGAGTCATGGATGGGGGTTGGAGGTCACTGTTGTCTAAAGTTTGCTTGAGGGTGGGCTGAGGCCTCAGAAAACCCCTGGCTCAGACTAATGATGACAACTGCACTACTTGCTGTTGATTGGTTAGGGCAAAATATCAACTACTACAAAACAGAGACTGGGTAATATGAACACTGTCGAACAGAATGAAGATAATACAGTCTGGTTTGATTGTCAGGCTAAAAATGGATGACCCAAGCCAGTGCTTTTGTAGCTGTCTGAAAGTGCGACACTTGCAATCTAGACAGGTAATTTTATACAGTATCTCCAGTCTACCAGCCTGGTCTCCAAATATAGAAAGCAGACTGCAGAGCAAACTGTAAGTACCAAATCTTATGCAGCTTCTGACATTTCAAACCTGCTACCTGCAGCACTAAAGGAATGCGAAAATAGTCAAATACACAGGACGGATCACTTGCATGTTTAGAGTCAAAGCCAAGAAAAGTTCAACACACAATGCTGCTCTGAGTATATTCCATATTTAAGCACTGACAACAGTTTTTGGAAATGGACTTTGCTTCAGGTTGGCACCCAATTGGTCACTGAGGGGAATGGCTATGCTCACACATGCCTGATGCACTGGGGTGGGTTACCGCCCACGTTTGCAGACGGGATGATGAACTGGTTTCTACCATTATTTCACTAAATTGACAGTTTTACTTACCACAGGAGCAGCAGGTGAAGCAGTTTGTGTGATAAAGGTTGCCCATGGCCTGGCAGGCTTGGCTGGCTCCATATACACCCTTCCCACATTTGACGCAGATACCTGTTAGAGACACGTGGTCAGTTAGCCGATGTTATGTATCCTGAGAAAAATACTTTGTATGCAACAGTAGAATAAGAGCATCCTACAAGATCCTTCATGAGCTTATAACATTGTTAGAATTACACATCATTCTTTGACCACAAAACAAAACAAAACAAACTAATCTACCTCGGGTTAATGACTTATGAGATGCGATTAAGATAAGATATTGTCTGCTATCAGTGTGCACCATTAGAATCAAACTATTGCTGGATATGCTGCCAGCTTTGTTGGAGCTTTGCTGGAAAGCTGCTAAAAAAAAGGGACTGTGCCAAACCATGTGTGCATTCCTTTAATTATACAACAGTCAAAAAAGGATTAGCCTACTACAAATGTCATCACTACTGTATTTCCAGAGGCAGATTTCATCCCGTTGCCTCTGCAGCTTTTGAAGACCAACATCACAGTAAAATTCAAGGATGTCAAAGCATGTCAAGCTCTGAAACCAAACTGTGCCAAACACCAAACATTAACCAGTTATTAGAGATGCACAATTGTGCTTTTAATTAAAGGTTAAAGATGTGTGATGAATGGCAGGTTTCAGTTTGTGATACAAAAAGTTATATTTCTTAAAATGATTTCCATTCCAGTTGCAGAAGTCTTACCTAAACTTCTGACATTTCAGTGCATTACATCACACTGTTTGAAGACACAATACTTCAGGAAAGCTGATGATTATATCAAAATATGCTGCAGTGGATGTGGTGGGAGAGTTGGGAAGGGCAAGCCAGAAACAAGGTACACCAGCAACAACTGTGCTTTTCCTTGTTACCTGGAAGAAAGCTGATGCAGTGCATGCATGCTGTGACGTACTGCTACACAATCATACCAGAAGAAGAAACTTTTGCACCCCTGAATTCACTTTTAAGAGTATATTGGTCATTTTGTATAAAATACAAGTGATTATCCCACTCTTTCACTATATTTTGGCCCTTTAACTAGATTTTAGAAATACTGAGGTCATGAGTGCAAACTCCTACAGCACAATACCGCCCCCGTTAGAGTAGTCACCAAAAAAAGTTAGCAAAATGTTCTTGAATTTTTGAAATTATATCAATTATAAATACCTTAAACGCCTCAAGGTTTAAGGTCGGAAAAGAAATCACTAATAGTTTTATTTAATAATATTTATTAAGAACTTATCACTCAAAACCTTAGCTAATCAGCCTCATGCGTGGGCGTTTGATCAGATTTGACTGACAGTGCAGGCAACGTAAACAAACAACTCCACCACTGTAATTAACCTTCTGATTCAAATGTTGCTAACTGGTGCACAGAGATCAACCATTTCCAACTGACCCCACCCGGTTCAAAATGAGCCAGACGAGGACAAACAAAAGACACAAAATACAGGAATCTTTCACGTAAAAATAATCACAACTGTTACAAAGTCGGCAGAAAGTGGCGTGTTCTTGTAGGACTCCAACGCTCATCCTCTGAAACAGTAGCAACGACGCAACCTTGGTGTCCTTAATGGTAGCTATAGCCCTAACAATACTGATTTTGTGGTTTGTGGGGGCTGCATGGTGCCTGCTCCAACCTGAGTGGTAACCTTTCTCAGTCAGACTGCAGTGAGATGTCATGGACTGAGCAGTCTGACTATAAAGAGACTGGGGTCTACCTGCTGAACAGAAATGGTCAGGGAAGGGATATTTTTAATTAATAATTCTCTTTGATGATCCGTCCCAAAAGTCACACGACTGCCCTTCTGACTACAATGTTGAACTTCTACCATTAGGCTGACTGTCTAATGGTAGAAGTTCATCACCAGGATGAGTGGTGCACTGACAAACCCTGGGAGAAGTGCCTGGCTATCCACAGGTACACGTGGACTACGACATAAGCCTAAGCAAACCAGCTACACTATTATGACCTCTAGGGAAGAAATGAGATAGGGCAGAAAAAACAGTGGCTTAAAACTATCTGGACGCAGCAGCAGTAGACTAACGATCTCCAAACTCTCACGCACAAGACGACCTCCACTGGGGTCACATTCCTCAGGGAGTGCAGGGTCAAAGCCTGGGTGGGGTGAGTCCAGGGTCACGGTGCCTACAGGACACAAGATCTCACAAGATCCCAACAGGGAGCTGCGCTCCAGCACCAACCCCACCTCTTACGCCCCACAGATAAATGATTACTTATCTTTGAAATAAATACAATTGTCAATTATTTCCCTTTCATGACAGCTGACACATGACACCAGTGCAGTCCGTGACATTGTAAGAAACAGATAAAGGACAAGGGTACAAGAAAACCACCCAAAGGTTACATGTCCTCCCTTTAAACTTAATGTGTTTGCACAAATAAATTTGTTGGAATCAAAGTCAAATATTGGCGTTTCCTGCTGTGACCTGAACCCGTGACTTCGCCAATGCACCAAATAAAGATAACAGGACAAAATGGGCGATAAGAATGAATGAGTAAACCAAATGATCTTAAACAATTTCTCCAAAATAAAAGTCTATAAAAGAACACTGATGCATGATGCCCTTCGTGTTTTCACCTTCACACATTCCCTATTTGAGACTAGAAAACTACTAAACAGCGCCGATGAAATAGAAGTGTGAAAAAAACTGTTATGGTCATCCAGATAAACCCGTAGGATTTATTAGTCCAGGGCCAGAGATACTTGAAGTAGAACCATGAAAGCCGAAAGACAGCTGACCATAGCTGTCAATAATGACTAACATTCACTGTTACATACCATTTCTTTGAAATTCTTTCGTCCCTGATGTGACTCTAGGCAGGGCCCGGTCCGGCATCGGTAACCTATGTGTTTCTTATTCATCACGGCAGCTCGGGGGAACATAAGGCTACTTTGTAAAAACAAAACCTGTGTATAGTCTCAGTGGGACCATGGCTGTAAATAAAAATGCCCTCTTGTAGCCTTTTTATAAAGTAAATCATCAACACACTGCACATTTGCTCCTGGTAAATATTACATGCTGTATTTTCCTCCGATAGAATTTACCAAATGTTAATCATCGTTTTATTTCTGCCACCTAAATTGCTTCTTATTCCATTCTAGTGCGATTATATACATGATATATTTTTTATTTTGCTGGTCACTTTCTGCCATTGTCATGACCTAATTCCCCCATTTCACCTCCTCGCATACAGTATTAAAACCTCAGCTCATACTCTAGTATTTCTGCTGCATGGCTTGTAATGATGAATGCTACCTCTTTTGTGTAAGCATGCAGAGTTAATGAGTGAGTATTACGTTTAGCGAGGCCATGATACAGAGCCCTTTCCTCCATGTTCATATAAGGTGTCTGTTCCTCTTCTCTTACTGTATCAAGGACAGCATATATACTTCCTTTCCGGGTATTTACTATGACAGCAACGGATAGAGTTTCTTTTGATGTAACAATACTCCACAGATTATAAATGTGACTAATAAATGCATATGGGTGGAGTTGACCATAGTCTTGCACCTTTCATCATTATAAAATGTAAGGGATTTGTACTCAAAACTCCGTATTTATGTGGCTAATCCTATCTCAGACTATGTTCTTTGTGTATAGACCTCTGTAAGTACTGTCATCCTGCCGCCCGTTGTACACTGATACCACAACCTTGACACAAAGGTTACTTCCAGTATTTCAACATGTACACATCAGCCTGTCTGGTGCCAATAAGCAAAGTCACAGATTCTCTGCATTACACAGTTGACAGCAAGTGGGCAAACATAATGACAAAGGTTTAAGAGTGGAGTTCATATTTCAGTACACAACAACCACAGAAACATTTCGATTTGATGAGAGGAATTGGAAGCAGCTATATTATTCCCACAGAATGAATCTATGGCTATGCAATTACTGACATGATTCTTTAGTTTTGACTCTCTACCCAATGGCTAAGCTAAAAAAAGGATGATTTATTTATAAAGCTACATTGATTTACCTTCATTACTTTATTCCCTCTGGTTGCAGCTATACTGCAGTTTCTTTAAAAAATATGCACCATCTGTTGGCAAGGCTTTTTCAACATAGGAACATTCTTTGTCATGAGAAAAAAAACACTAAAATCGTCCTGTGATCTGTTATGATTTCCACACAAATGCTAAAAATCCTGAAGTGTCTTATGAGCGAGGATGTGGTTATCATTTTACCGGACAGCAGGGAAATCTCTCTTGTTATTCATTTAAAACAGGATGCTGAATCCCTCATGTGCCCATTTCATAACATGCCCATGTGGCAAGGACAGGATGTTGTGCATTCACTGGGGTTAAAAATAAAACGGCTTTGCTTGATGCCCATACGTCGCTCCACTTTTAAACTAAATACTGCTGATCAGATCAAGATCAAGATTCAAACTGATGATGGTATAAAAACAGGGTATAGGCCTAGTATAAAAAACCTGAAAGAATAAAGTCAGGAAAATGTAATGATCAAAAATCAGATGTAATGTGTGTAATGTGATTACAGGATGCGATTAGAATCTATTAATGATAATCATTCATCAACACAGCAAATGTTTTACAACCACCCATGACTTCTTATTCTACCATCACTGAAAAACCACACAGAACGTGCTGTGAGTTGTAAGAAGGTTTGCACAGCCCCATTCATCAAACTTTAACGACTGCTCGGTGTGTGACTGACTTCTTACAGCACAATATCAAACCAATCTCTGAAACATATGAGCGGGTCACATGAGCAGTGTCAATCAAACAAATGAACGGTGAAATACATAGAGGGATAGACAGTTTTCTAGTTTGTGGAATGAAATGCTGTCAAATATTTAAAAAACATCTGCAGGTCATACAGGAGTGATTGGGTTGCTGCACAAGGAGCAGGTTCGTGCGTCTTTCCAGCACGAAACGACTTGCAGTAACGAACAGTATAAAAAAGGATGGCCTTTACAGCATCAAAGCCTGGAAATACATGATTTCAGGTGAGAGGTCTACACTTGTGAGACATCTGAGAGCGTTTGACACATCAGAGGATAATGAAGGCTTCAAACTTAAAGTGAGACTTATGAATAATTATACATCTTTATGTCAGCTGCAATTTGTTCATGTACAGTATGCACAGAGTCAAAGCACAAATGTGCCTCAGTGTGCTGCTGTCCACAAGTCAGCATGTGTGTGTGTGTGTGTGTGTGTCAGACATGTGCATGACTACTGCCATTATAATTCTGGGCAGGTGATCAGACTTGACCCCCACCAACTATGTCTGGCCCGCCAGCCAAGATCGTGTGCCAAGTGTCTGGTGTTGCCCGACTCCCCACTGGCTGGTTAATGAAGGGCTTTGCGGGGGAGTCAGGGCGGGGTGGCGGTGGAGGGGAGGGGAGGGGGGTAAGGGGTGGGCCTCCCCTCTGCTGCTTCAATTGCAGGCTTGTATCGGGCCAGCTGTTGATTCACAGCTCCTTCGCCACCACAACAAACAGAGGCCACACAGGGGCCGGCCGGCAAAGCAGAGCTGGCCAGTGTGGGACACTGGCAGGCAGCGCTGCCACCCCCCCGCCCTAAAAAAAAAAAAAAGCCCCGGCGATCAATTTCTCCACTGTCGCTACGGAAACAGAGCTGTCTCTATTGGGCTCGGCATGAGGAGTGCTGACTGCATTCTTCCCTCTCCCTCCTTTTCCTTTCTCTCCCCATCTCTATCCGATTCCACCCTCTCGCTTCTCTCCACATTATCTCTCCCCGCCTTCCTCGTTTCTCCCTCCTGTCTTCCATCCTCCGTCTCTCACCTGCTTCTCTGGAACAACTCAACAGCTGTCTCAGCCTCACTCTGAGCAAGTGCAGTGGCTATAAAACAAGCCACTGTTCTCTTGACTGCAGCCATTTGTCTGGCTGCTAATTCAAAGGTAGACAGCAACTTCCTCTGCAGGCTTTCTGTGGCTGTGTTTCTGCTGGTGATCGGAACACATTTGCTCTCACAGTGCCTAATCACAAAAATGTGCCACACAAGGTTCGAGGTACTTAAAAACCAGGCAAAAACCAAATCACTGACCACAACATATACTCCTTCCTCCAGAGAATAACTGCATTTTCAACAAATCCCGACCGCACTGCTCTGAATGACCGAAGGCTGTCTGCTCTGGCAGAACAGAAGGTTCCATTCAGCGAGGTGCAGCGCTGTGCAAATGTTAGCTCTGCCAAGACAGAAATTAGTATTGCCCTGCAAAGCCACTCTTATCTGCCACAGAGAGACCTGTTAATGGTAATGTAGCACCAGCAGGTTGCAAATAGGCCTTGAAAAGATGATACATCTATAAATAACCCCTTTGTGCAGAGAAAAACATCAGCAAACACTATTTTAACTATTTCTTTTAATTCCTATTTCAGTAGGCAATCGTCTGTGAGATACAGAGAAAGTTACACATGACATTTCACTGGTACTAATGCATGTTTGTTCAATTGTTGCCATGGAGAATTATTTGTATTCAGTGGAATAATATAATACAATGAAGGGAAACATTGCTCTTGTCAGCTGAAAACCTTAATTTTCGGCAATTGTTTTGGATTTATTCCATCTGTAAAAGGTCAAACCCTTCAGTGTGTTTTCCTTTGAAATCTACACTGCAGGGATCTCCCAGATAGTTGTGAGGACGTAAGCGTGCAAGGACGCTGTAGGGTAAGGAGACGGGATCAGAGCATCAGTGCTCTACACAGGCATGTTAGTTTGACTGGTTTGGAGCCGAACATTGGCAAAATGGTCCGTCAACTTTTGGTTCTCTTAACTCTCAGGTAGGGCCTCAGAAACAACCCAAACTCCTCCTGTGCAAAATATAGTATTGATAAGGGGAGGCTTATCTTCTAGAGCATTAATATTGGGTCAAAGCTATGTAAAAAAAAAATCAGTGGTTTTGACTTCCTTGGGCTGAAAGTGATTTTGCAACACAGATGTTTGTTTGCATGTCCTGATTTGTTTCTACTTGCAAGTTCTCAAAAGAAGACAGAAAGGTTTAACCTATTCGAAATCAAACCTGAAATTAAGATTACCTACCAAAGTATTCCTTTTTCATGTGCATCTCTAACTCCTTTTCCAGCTCCAAGGTGAGCGCCTCCAGCCGTCTCTCCGCCTGGCTTGGCCCACTCTCTCGGCTGGGGGTCACCTGGTAAGGCAGCTTGAACCTCTGGCTCGAGGAAGCCGTTTTAGAAGACATCCCATAACTAAATGATGATGGCGAGCCCGCGGTCATCTCCGCAGTCCCTCCCGTCTGGGCTGACTGCTGCTGGGGCTCTGGCACCGCCGAGAGTCCCTGGAGATGGATGCGACTCTGGATCCCGTTGGAGTCTCCGAACTCCTGCAGCAGCGTGTCCTCGTGTAAACTGCTGCCCAGCATCGACGACCTGGGCGAGGGCAGCTGCAGGTCCGGGTAGGTGCTCATAGACCCCCTAGAGCTGCGGGAACTTCTGGAGCTGTGACTGGAGATGCTGGACCGGGGACTGACCACGCAGTTGGCCGTGGTCCCCGGTCTTGCGCTCCCGTCCTGGCTGCAGATGCTCGAGCGAGGACTCGCCAGCGGCGCTGCGTGCAGAATCGCCCCCTCCAGGTCATGGTTGACCACGGGCCCGTACCGTGAGTCCGAGTAACTGGACCTCGGGCTGGTGGTGAAGGAGTACTGGCTCGCCGTGCTCGACCTGGGGCTGGCGTGCCTCTGGTCGTAGCCCATACTGATGCCGCTGGTGCGGTTGCTGCTGGGCTTACTGCAGCAGTCACAGCTGTTGAGGCTGGCCCGGGGGCTGGAGTGTTTACTCGTGTCGCTGGCGGTGCTTGCATAGCTGGATCTGGGACTGAGGACACTGTTGCCCTCACAGTGAATTAAACTAGACCTGGGACTCGTGTACCTGTCCTGACCCGGTACCACCAAACTAGTTCGCGGGCTGCTGATGCTCGACCTCGGGCTGGCATGCTTGCTCTGCTCCTGGGAGGACAGGGAAGACGCGAGGCTGGACCGGGGACTGGTGGCGTTATACCTCCCGTCGTGGCTGCTGGTGATGCAGACACTGTTGCACCTGTTGCCGGGCAGAGCCACCGGTTTGTTGAGAGGCACGCCGTCGAAGGTGGAGCCGGTGCTGTACCTGTGGCCCTGCACCTCCAGAGAGTACCTCCTGTGCCTCTCGGAAGCGCCCGTGTAGCACGGCAGAGCCACCTCGGATTTGGTGCAGCAGCCCTCCTCACTATAAACCGCGTCTCTTTGAGGAGCACAAAAATCCACAGGAACGGTCCGGTTGCAGTTCACGGGGCGCACCGGAGCCGCGTTGTACACTTTATTCCCAGACGTGAAATTCTCCACTGTGTGATGCTGCTGGTGAAGCACAGAGGTACCATTCATTGGCTTACTTTTATGCTCCGCTACAGCCGGAGCCGAAAAGTCCAAATCGGGGTTAATCACCAAGTCTCTCCTCGCGTTGTACATCCCGTCTTTGTACGCATCGTACAGGGAAAGGTCCTCCATCAGTTTACTGGCCCGGAGTCCCAAGTCTTCCTGATAGTGCTCCATGTTGTGTTCCCGAGGCGAGAAACAAGTTCAGAGTGTGCTCCGCTCCGCGAGCCAAACTAGCGAGCACCGCGGAGCACTAATTGCATTTCACATGGAAATCAAAACAAAACGCCGCGGTACAGCCGTCGCTCATTTACACAAAACCACCGACGTACTCAGAAAGCTCCACCGTGTGCCGCATCGTCTTCTCCTGCTTCGCCCCCTTCACCGAAAAAACAAACTCTTTCTCACAGTTTCAGCCGACAGGGATACGTTTGTCAACTTCAGTTTTTGTTAAGTTGAAAGGTCTTTACAGTCAATGGCGCGCTGCGCGGAGGAATTTCCCCTTGTTGGTTTTTCCTCTAGTTTCGCTTACGGCCACTGTGGCAGAAATTAAAGTAGGCTGAATAATCTGATACGCCACAAATATCCGTTGTATATAAATCTGAGCTCACCGAGCGTGCTAAAACCTAAATAAAATACCGTTTTACACAAGGGACTCGTTTGCGTAAAAGGAATGCGGGGATGAAGACGGGATGCGCTGCGCCTCTGTGGAATGTGGTTAATGCTGCAGAGAAACAATGATTGCGACCAACTCAGCAAGGGGCTGCCGGCTCTGAAAAGAGAATAGTTTAGAGAAGGGGACGTCTGCATTCATCCCTGGCAGACTAAAATATCACACAAAGCACGCCTTACCTGCTCCGACTTCTTTTACACCAGGAACACGCTGCAGTGAGTTAGTAATGTGGAGGGCAGAGCCATTTAAAACTAGTTTTTAGTCTGATGATAAAATATACTCTCAGGTCGCCCTAGAAAGTGTGCATGATCGATTTTAGGATGACGTCCAAACTAATTTGAGTTTTTAGAGTTAAATAGATAGGCCTGCCAAGTGCATCAAAGACACGATTGAATAAAATATTACTCTGTCATGAACATTATATTTATTTTTATGCATTTAATGCAAAGTGAATGAGTCATTTAAAGGAAGAAACGGGAAATAACCATGGATGTCTATGATGACCACACATGAAGGTTACGGTTTACTTTGTATTTGATGTTATTACTGTGAGATTGTGATACATGGATATGCTGTATCCATTGTAAACCAGGCTACTAAACCTTTATTTTTATACTAAGGGTCTAACATGGCAACTATTTATCAAAACTTACAATGCAACCTTGAATCCAGGTTAAAAATCAAGCAAACAACATTTTCCTTGAAAGGTTTTATTCATTACAGTTTCAGAACTTTTCAGCATTCATCAATCTTTGCCTTCAGAGATGTGTGTTCAAAAGGCAACTGCTGTGGAAAACGAGGTAGCATTTAACATATAGTGTCTGAAAGTGACAACTATAGGATGTAAAATTAAGACATTAAGGTACATAGATTATACGATTATTGTGATGGGTGTTACAGTATAAAAAGGACCCCAAATAAACGTGTTCATTTTTGCTTGTTGGTCTGTAGACAGCTGCTAACACTGACCATTTAAAAATAAAATGTGCATGTGGACATTGTCACATCAAGACCTGTTAAACAACCTTTTGGAAAGATATGATATTTTTACTTTGCTCATCAACTACCAACAAGTGGAAGAAAAGAGAGAGCCACAGCAACAAAGGCCGCAACAAACAGGATGTCTAGGAGCAATCGATTGAGGAAGGAGCTGTGAGGTGTTTTCCCATGCCCTCTGCTTCTAAACCACTGTACAACATCATCCAGGTTGTGCTCCTGGGGCTCATAACCGAGCTCTGCCTTAGCTTTTGCCATGCTGAAGTAATGCGTCACGCCAGTTTTATACACCTCTGTACGTGTCAGCAGTGGCTGAAAGTTATAGAAGGGCCCGATGACGTGGTGAATCATTTCTGTGAGAAAGGCAAAAAAGTAAATGAGAGAGACAGGGAGGCGGAGTTTGGGGAAAGGATAGCCCAAGCCCTCTACCAGAGGTTTAAAGAATTCAAAATTGTTGACAGGCCTGCCATCTGAGATAAAGTAGGCCTGGCCAGCAGAGCGGTGCTGCTGCTCTGAGGTCAGAGCCTCTGCAGCAAGTTGATGGGCTGACACCAGGTTGTCCACATGGACAAACTCCACCAGGCTGCTGGGTTCACCGTAAACAAACTTGAAGATCCCCTTCTCTATGTAGCCAACTATCCTGGGCAGGTGCCTCTGCTCACCAGGCCCGTAGATTCCTGCAGGACGCAGTGCACAGCTTCTCAGCACCCCAGAGCCATCCTTCAGTGCTGTGCCATTAGCTTTTAGCACTGCCATCTCAGCCAGGGACTTGGTTCTGGAGTAGTGGTCGGGGTGAAGATGGAGGGGTAGATAAGGGAGGCTTTCATCCCCATTCTCTATCACTTGGCCTCCAAACACCACGTTGAAGGTGCTGGTGTAAACCAGCCTGGACACTCCGTGCTCCACGCAAGCCTTCAGGACGTTCTGCGTGCCTTGAACATTCACCGCCTCAATCAGATGGTGGTTCAGTTGCTCCCTGCCAGACATGCCATAGGAGGCGATGTGGAACACGCAGTCCACACCAGTGATGGCCTTCTCAACGTGTTCATACTCACGTATATCTCCTTGAACAAACACAATGTCCTCTGGCACGTCTCGGTTTGGAGGGACTGTGTCGAACAGAATGATTTTGGCTCCTTTTTTATGCAGGGAGCATGCCAGGCTGCAGAGGAAATCAAATATGAAATCATCTCTGCAGGAAACTCATTAAAACTCCTCTATTTTATCAATATGACATTTTAAATCAATGAAAAACAAAAACTACATTAGTTGCATGTATTTCTACTTTGAAATCTACCATATCCAATCTAGCTGAGATAACTGGTGTGATAACGCCACCTTGTTGTAGTACGGTTGTATGACAGCACAAGGCAACTGTGAAATCCTGAGTGTTCCCTGACTGAGAGGGTTCAATTTCAGTCTTAAAACATATAAGACGGTTCTTACCGATAACCAAAATAACCACATCCCCCAGTTATTAAAAACGTGTCTGCACGGTCATTTTCCATTGCAGGAGGGCGAATCTAAGAGAGAGGATGAGACATTTTATAAGGATAACAATGTGTTTAGAGAAGTACACACACAAAGGAATCACCATTCATATAAAACCACAAAGCAAAACAAAAAGAAAGAAGCTAAGTTACCTCACCTGCAGTCTGTAGTCTAGAGTTCACTGACCTTGTACTTTAGTTATTAAACCCTTTATATAATTACCAACCTGAGTGCATTAACATTGTTTCTACATGGACAATGCACCACAAATGTATTCCAGAGTTATTATTACAGCCTAGTTTACAAACTAGGACTTATTCATACAGCCATGTGTTTAACTTATGCAACAAAGTAGCATTAGTGGTCTGTAACATGCACACAGACAGCTGAGCTCTAAACGATATAAGTTCACGTATTCACTGTTGGTACCAACCTCAACATAAACCGGGTAGAAAGAGGGCTGAATATCACTCATTCAAAACTGAGACAGAGTCCACTTCCTTGGTCGGTGCTGTGCGTGCTTTTTGTTACGTGATTTACACAAAATAAGGCCGATATCGCTCCGCAACTGGATCTCCAAAGGGTCCAGCGCAAGTACAGGTACAACGAGGCAGAATGACACAGGAAGTACGGCGACAATACCTTCACAATGTAAGACAGCCTATCATATAGTGATGGCAACTGATTTTAAATGAAAATTATCCCAACATATAAAAATCACAATTGACTATTTACAATTGTAGAAGTGTTAAATTGGCACGTGATCGCCTTGAAATGAGTATTTTTGTTTCTGTGTTCGCTAACGACGCTTTTATTTTGGAAGTCTTAATCGGATGTCATAATACTAAATACGTTGGCTTTGCGAGGACTTCCGGTATGCGCCTCGGGAGGTTTTTTTAAAAGTAGTAACATTAAATATTGAATCGTCATACCCATTACACCAAAACACGGCAGTGTCAGACACACAATAAACAACTCCCACCCTACTGTTTGATCTGTGTGTACGGAAGAAGTCAGTACACGGACTCGGACTCAGGTGGGTGATAGCGCCTCCAGTGGAGACACGCGAGCACAAGCAACTTTTCAACCCGGGCACAACTACGTCATGTTTTACTAACCGCCCTAAACAACAACAACAACAACCTACCGTGGCACGTCACGTCACAGTGTGAGCAAGGTGAGTTGTGTGTTTGGGAGCTGATCATTGACAGGATTTAGGATCGATGAATTAAGTTGTGCTGTAATGGGTCGATCGCTGGCGGGCGAGGCGTACGGGTTTTACTTTCACTTGTCCTAAGCGTATATATGCGAGACAGCAGACTATGTGGTTAACAATTCATATTTCTAACTTGTACACGGACAGAGTATTTGTTAAAGAATGGTCCCTCTGAGCATAGGCTGCACCTCAATCAGTTTGTTTTCTTCTTAAGAAAATCGCAAAGTTACACTTCCTGTCCTTTTTTTCCCTCAAACACGTACTCGCACAGAAAACTAACATACATTGAAAGTTAAGCACTGCTTCTACACATTTAACTTACCAAAGATGGAAAGTGCTATTAGGAATATTTTTGAGATGTAATTATGACAAGCTGTCGTTGTTTTAAACTTTAAGACAATTGAGATGACTTTGCAAAATTAAATGCAACTTTGTGACCAGTGGGCGTGTCCTTTATATATTTATATACTTTATAAATGTTGTACTTAATGGCTTTATCTAGTAGCTTTACCTTAAAGCTGCAGTAGATAACTCAGAAAAATACCTTTTTTGTCATATTTCCTGAGATAGATACAGACAGGTAATCTGTGTATGAATCAGGTTTCTCTGGCGCCTCCTAGTGCTCTTAATGGTGTTTGCAACAATCCACCTGAACGAAAACAACAACAACCAATCAGAGCAGACAAAGAGAGTTGATTAGTCTCCTTCCCAGGTCATCAAATATCTAAAGCTCTTTCTATCTTTCTGTGTTGTAGTCGGCTACTGTCAGGATTATGTGAAAGTTTCAGCAAATATGACAAAAAGTTATTTTTATAAAAAATGACCTGCTGCAGCTTTACGTACTCTGCGGTTTATTAGAAAGGTATGCCCTGTATTTTACAGGCAAGATGAATTTGGAAGAATACTTCAAAAGAATTGGTTTCCACGGCTCTTTTGATAAACTGGATCTTGCGACACTGAAGTTGATCCACAAGCAGCACGTCATGTCCGTCCCATTTGAAAACCTCAGCATTCACTGCGGTGAGAGGATCATCATGGACCTTCAGGTCATTTACAATAAGATAGTGAGGAGCCGCCGTGGAGGTTGGTGCCTTGAGAACAACTTCCTGTTTGGCTGGGTGCTGAGGGAAATGGGCTACGACACTACAACGTTGAGCTCCAGAGTTTTCAACAGTATCCTGGATGATTTTGGACCCCTTGAATCTCATCTCATCAACAAGGTCATCATTGATGGAAAAGCTTATATAACAGATGTGAGCTTTGGCGTGTCCTCCCAGGTGTGGGAGCCCCTGGAGCTCGTCTCTGGAAAGGACCAACCTCAGGCAGCGGGTGTCTTCCGTCTCATAGACAAGGAGGACTTCTGGGTGCTGGAGAAGACTGGCAGAAAGCCAGAGGTTCTCAATCCAGACTTTGCCAAATCTAGTCTGGTGAGCAGGAAGGAAACCAAGAATATCTACTGCTTTACCTTGGTGCCTCGTGAGGTCAATCATTTCTTTGATAAGAGCCACAGACTCCAGACCGACCCTACTTCACTGTTTACCAATAAATCCATCTGCTCTTTGCAAACACCAACAGGATTCAAAGCTCTGATTGGTTGGACCTACAGCGAGGTCACCTACAAACCTGAGGAAGGTGTTGACATCTTAGACATGAGGGACATAACAGATGATGAGATAGAGCAAATACTGAGGGAAAAGTTCAATCTGAAGCTGCAGAACAAACTAAAGCCTGTAAGCAACAAGTCATGGTACACACTGTGACGTGTTACACGTATTAATGCTGTTTTGTACAAAAGAAATGATGCAGTTGCTTTAGGACTGAGAGAAGTACAAATAAACAGCACTTTACATGTGTCATTCAATTTTATTCACTGACACTTTTGACAGTAAATAATCATGTACATTCATTGTCATATACCTCAGTATGCTGCAGTAGTAGTTTGCAGTTTGCAAAGGGGGTAACAGAAGAGACCATTTGCTGACTGTGCACCAAATGTTACTCAAAAAGTTGTGACCCAGTATTAATGTTTATGAGAGTCTTCTGTTACAAATAGCCAGCTTATTGCGGTGTAGCATCAAGGTCAGTGCTTGGCTCATATATATACATATATTATACATATTGGTGAGCTTAGAGGGTGGTCGGATTTTAGATTTATGTTTTTGGTATATATGTGTAAGAGTATATGGAGCTAATGGGAGGGACAGACTAACTACTACCACTAAGTGAGGAAAAACAAATGTCTGTCCAAAAACAACAACATTGTTTGCCATTATTTATACCTTTTATAACTTTCTTATGTAAATGTAATCTGCTAAACTTCAAGTTATAAGTTATATAATAAGTCTGCTGTACCTGGTTGTCCCTGTCTGACTCAGTCGCAGCCGTACTGTGTACTCACTCATATATCATTACCATGTTTAAATATTATGCTCATAAACTTTTATATCTTCTTCTTCTGAAACATGGCTGACACTGTCATTTTGTAAGAAGGCTGGAGAAGAAAACTGAGCTTCATAACAGGAGAGTGAGGAGGAGGCCTGTATATATAATCTTCTTTTAGTGCTTTTTATTGTACAAGTATTATAGGGTTTATCATGGTGTGTTTACTAAGGTTTGTGCATTGGGCAATTAGTCCATTCCTCCTTGTAGGAGAAGGCATCCACCTCGACCTGACAGAATCTCAGATCCTCTTCTTCGCCTCGAAAAGGCAAATCTTAGCATAGACCAACAAGTGTTAGAATAAGCTACATTGTATTGTTCATCTTTGTAGACCTTGTGTTGACAACTGCTGGACATGTATTATTAAAATTATTCATATTCACTTTATTGTTTTGTAGTATGTTCTGTGTGGAGGTACCTCGTTCTTACTCCCAGCCTGCACAAACAGCCCAGTCCTCACTGGCTGGATGAGCAGCAGGTCTGCACTCACGTACTAGAACACTATTCTGTAACTCACAGGAGTCTGCTGAGCAGAAGTCGCCACTTTTAAAGCATTCCTGATGTAAAATTAGATCCATTGTGATACTGAACCTCAGATGTAAGACCAACTCTTGAAGAGAACTGGAGCAGGGGTGCTGTTTTATCACATTAGCCTTACTATTGTTCAAGGGTACAGCTTCAGGGAATCTAGTGTCCATGTGCATTATAAATGAGAATTCATTCTGACCGTTGGAGGCGATGCCAAATGAACAATGCTAATCATTACCATGTTTTGGTCCTGCCATGTTTTAATTGGAATACCATACACCAGACTTTAGAGGAGGTATTATAAACACATTCCCTTTTAGATTTAATGTTCTGTATCTATGTAATATCTGACAAGTGATAAGCACAGAATTAAAGCACATAATGGTGTAATTTGGGCAAGTTAATGGCACATTATTTTCTACCAGCATGTCTATAAACTCATTTAATTATGAGATGTATGTGATTTGTTTTGTTTATTTATTTGTCCCCTGTCCCCTGTCCCACAGTGAAATAAGATAAGATATTCCTTTATTTATCCCCCTTAGGAGAAATTCAGGTTGACAGCTGTAGAGCAACCAATCTTGCACTGATTAACAGGAGGCCAAGGCAAATCATTAACTTTTATGTTCTACTGGTTATAAGCTCAACTCTTTACAGGTCGGAGTTCTCCAGGAAGAAATAGCTGAGTGGCATTTGCCTTTGTGGGGAAGCTCTTATCAGCACAAACTCCTGTCTCCTCAGAAAGCACGATTTTGACTGTTGCACTTACAACCTATACAAACGGTAAGGTTCAACACTCTTCCTACATATTTTCTGTTTTACAAATTAGTGATTAAACCTCATATTTTTAATGATTGAAAACAAGTATGTAAATGTACTTAATTGCACCTGACTGATATACACTGAGTGAAACACCAGCTTTGTCCATGTCAGACTTGATCAGGAGAAAAGCCTCCCTGATTCATTAATAAATCCCCCTCAATCATAAAAGACACAAAGCCTTTTAAGCTTTGAGACAATTAAGATGACTTTGCTAAATTGAATGCAACTGTGTAACAGGTGGATCGGTCCAATAAATTAATGCAATGTGCTGTATTTTACAGGCAAGATGAATTTGGAAGAATACTTCAAAAGAATTGGTTTCCACGGCTCTTTTGATAAACTGGATCTTGCGACACTGAAGTTGATCCACAAGCAGCACGTCATGTCCGTCCCATTTGAAAACCTCAGCATTCACTGCGGTGAGAGGATCATCATGGACCTTCAGGTCATTTACAATAAGATAGTGAGGAGCCGCCGTGGAGGTTGGTGCCTTGAGAACAACTTCCTGTTTGGCTGGGTGCTGAGGGAAATGGGCTACGACACTACAATGTTGGGCTCCAGAGTTTTCAACAGTATCATCGATGATTTCTACCCCACTGAAACTCATCTCATCAACAAGGTCATCATTGATGGAAAAGCTTATATAACAGATGTGAGCTTTGGCGTGTCCTCCCAGGTGTGGGAGCCCCTGGAGCTCGTCTCTGGAAAGGACCAACCTCAGGCAGCGGGTGTCTTCCGTCTCATAGACAAGGAGGACTTCTGGGTGCTGGAGAAGACTGGCAGAAAGCCAGAGGTTCTCAATCCAGACTTTGCCAAATCTAGTCTGGTGAGCAGGAAGGAAACCAAGCAGATATACGGTTTCACCTTGGTGCCTCGTGAGGTCGATAATTTCCTTGAGACAAACCACACACTGCAGACCGACCCTACTTCACTGTTCACCAATAAATCCATCTCCTCTTTGCAAACACCAACAGGATTCAGAGCCCTTGTTGGTTGGACCTACAGCGAGGTCACCTACAAACCTGAGGAAGGTGTTGATGTGTTAGACATGAGGGACATAACAGATGATGAGATAGAGCAAATACTGAGGGAAAAGTTCAATCTGAAGCTGCAGAACAAACTGCAATCTGTAAACAAAAAAGCTAGTTACACAATCTGAAAAACAACACACATTCTTTATATATGTATATTATGAAGTGATATCGCAAAGTGATTTGACGACTGACCAGGGAGAGCGGCTTGTTCAGTAAATCTGTCTCAGAAATTAACAGTGCTTTGAATTTTTTTGTACCGTGTTAATGATGCTTTTATATAATCACTGTAAGAAGTAAAAAATAAACAATAATCAAAATGTTTTCAGCCATTTCATTCATTGCTATGTCTGCTCGTCTAGAGTTGGGAAGTAATTGAGTATGTCTCAACAACACAAAAGTCAAGTTAAAGTTAGTAAAAAAAGGAAAGAAAGCTGTATAGTTCTGAAATAAAACATCATGGACAGATGAGACAAAGATTAATGTATAGTGATGGACAGGTGAAAAGGTAGGGAAGGAAAATGATCAGCTCATAATGAACATTGTTTCCTCTTACTAAAAACCCCATGAGGCCATGTCCATTTTCACTTTAGGGAATCCACAGTCATAATCCAACACTGGGTCCATTTTCCAACCATCACGGTGCACCATCCACCATGCATTTATGTGCATGTAAATAAAATAAATAAACAAAATGATGCAAAAAAGTTCCTGAGTGTCCTACTGAATAAAAATATCCCCATCAATAATATATGTTGGATCACTAATTAGTCTACAATTTTAAACGCTATTGTCTGTGTTTAATTGTATCTCCCTTTGTAATATTGTATGCACAAGAAAAAGGGTGGACCAGAGGGCCGGAGTCAGGGCTTTTGATATTTGTACCGCCCTTTATTTGGTTGACAGCCAATCACGTTCGAGCTGAGCGCAAAGCCTCTGCGGATTGGTCAGTACGCTCCGTCCTTCAGCTGAGCGGAAGCAGCGGCACAGCCAACAGCAGGCTGCTGGGACGAGCAGACATGAACTCCCTGGAACAGGCCGAAGGTAACTCAATAAGAAAGCAACTTAAAGTAACATATTTTTAACCAGCCGCCGATTCGTTTATGCCTCATAGCCATAATTACTAAAGGAATACAAAACAAAACGTCTTAAAAGGCAATTACAGAGTTAGGAGCTACGATAAATTAGCTGGCGAGTCCGGCACTAGCATGTTTGCTAGCTTACCTGACAGTAGACATTGATTCGTTCACATGTTTGTATAGTTATTAGCTTACACTTGTTGTTAAATCCGTTCATTTCTGTTTGTGCGGGAGGTAGCTACACAGACAGCCATGTCAGTGTGGCATAACCAACAAGTGAACCGATCGATGATGTGTAGGAGCCGCCTGTGTCTGTCTTCAGGTTACATTGTGTGCAGTAGTTAGCATTACAGAGAAACTGACACAGTCTTAGAGCTGATATTAGTTGTGTTAAGGTCCTGCATTAATCACAAGACATAATCTGTGTAGGAGAGAGAGACAGAGAGAGAGAGCATATCACAGAATGGAAACATAAAGTTGTCTCCTCGTCCAGCAGTGTAGTTCTGTTTTAACGAGCCCACTGTTTTTATTTCAGACCTGAAGGCTTTTGAGAGAAGACTGACAGAGTATGTCTCCTGTTTGCAACCTGCAACTGGCAGGTGGAGAAGTAAGTACCTGACTGTCAGATCCACAGCAGAGAAGATGTAGTGGCTCACACGGTACCTTCATTTACATCTTTTATTTGACAAACCCTATCTATACCTGTTCACTGACTTCAACCCTGCATTTGATGACTATCAAACCAAAGAATCATGAGAAGCCACCACTCACCAAGTACAGTAACTGCAGATATAATCACAGTTCAAAGACCTGGTATCACCAATATTGAGCACATCCACTGTATTGATTTGGTAAATGCACTTCATGCTGCTGCACTGGGTCTCATTGTCCTGTCTGGTTTTCAGTGATTCTGATAGTGGTGTCTGTCTGTACGGCTACTGGAGCTTGGAACTGGTTAATAGACCCCGACACACAGAAGGTATGTATTAGTGGACAGATGTGTTTAGTTGTGTCCTTTATGGCCTTAAAGGAAATCCTATAACAAACAGAATATACATTGTGCTCTTATTATTGAACAATATAGCCAACAACAATAAACTAATGCAGGAATTACAGCTTTAAGATTATTGGGATTTTACAGTTTGTCCATTGACTCTGACTCTCTGGGTTAATAGATTATTTTGTATAAAATATGACAGTTTGAATATGAGGGCTGGTAGCTGTTGTTCCCATATTCCAGACTACAGGGAAAGCTGAGTGTAATGAAACTATTGATGTGTTTCAAGTGGAGCTGTTCTTGTTCTTCCATATCAGAACAGAATTAGTATTTTTTTTAATGTTTTATATTTTTCTATGCGAGTCCAAAGATTAAACAAAACCTCCTCATATCACCATCTTACATTACTTATCAAAGTGGCAGACATATTCCTAAGGGTGGAAACACACCAAAAGGGGTGAGGAGCCACCTTCGTCCCCCACATTATGGGCAGCTCATTCATGCTGTCAGTACAAATGCAACACTTGCTTCCCTTGTTGTTGCTTGTGTATATGGTAGTCACACAGTCATACAGTACAAGCTGGATTTAGGTAGAGGTGGTGTCATTATTAACAGTAACTATAAATGTATCCTAATTGTGATTGGTTACCATTACAAGTATTTTTTTTTTCGGGATTTGCTGCTCATCATAGAAAATGAGCTCACTGTGTACTGTGTGGGGTTTTTTCCCTGTCTCTTGAGGTGGTCTGTAGGACATACAAGGTGGTGTTCAACAAATGATGTGCTTTATATTCTACACTGTAACAGTTAGGAGGGTTCATTTGGGGAAGGAGCTCAGAAAACTGAAGGCAGTGGGACTTTCTTATGCTAGATTGTTGCCTGTCCTTACCACATTATAATGATGGGAATAGAGCTGAAAAATGTGAAGTGACCCTGTTATTTGTAGTTCGCCTTGTACTTTTCTGTGCTCCTACCAGATTGATTAACTACTGTTGGAGAACGGTATTTCTCTTGGGACCCAATTCATTTTTAAAGATGTTCCACTACACTCACTCACTATAAAAGATATTAACTTAACAATTTATGTCGCTTTGTTCCTCTTTGTTTCTGCAGGTCTCTTTCTTTTCATCACTGTGGAATCATCCCTTCTTCACCATCAGCTGCATCACTCTCATAGCGCTCTTCTTTGCTGGGATACACAAACGAGTTGTGGCACCGTCGATGTATCCTTTGTCTGATGCAGTTATGATGAAGTAGCATGTCGGCATGTTTGTCAAAATTATATTTTTAGCATCACACAAAAATTGCCCTTTTGTATTTGATTACCCTGTTCAGCTTTTTGGATTACTGGTTTACATCTTTAACCTTTTCCTCATCAGTATTGCTGCACGCTGTCGGACAGTTTTAGCAGAATACAACATGTCCTGTGACGATGTGAGTTAACAAATCTCTTTGATGTTGTGTCCTGTAGTCTGCTCCGGCAGCTTCTGCTTTTGTAAATTTGTTCACACTTGTGTCTTATTTCCGTTTTTTTTTTGCAGACGGGGAAACTTATTCTCAAGCCACGGCCGAACATCCAGTAATCACAAGCTTGAGTGGGGTGCTCAGACATCCTGGTACCTGGTCTTTGCCGACAGCCACAGATCACTCGGTGTCTGGAGTTGGGTGATCTCAACAGCACCGAGGGGGAACAGCACTAAGGCAGACATTGTTGTGATGGGAATGCAGACGTGAACTGATTGGGCCTTTTAACAGTGTCGCTGTGCTGATGTCACCATTGAAGCTGCTGATCTGCTCACATAGGCCAAGATATTTTACTCATTCAGTGTGAGTTCAGATGTGTTTATTTCTGTTTCTAATGTTGAGCGTGTATTTTATCAGAATGTTTCTATTTTTAAAGTTATGTACCTAATAAATACTTCAGGTGAAAAATGGTGTCTCCTATTTATTTCTGCTATATTACATATAAAGCCTCTTCCTACGGTTTATGAGGTGTTTGTGATAAACTTCTAAAATCAAGATACGTCCTACCCATGTGTTGTTGCCTCCCGCGGTGTTTTGCGACAGCTTCTCTGCTTTCCGGCAGCAACGAGCGGATTACGGCAGGGAGCAGACTTCCACATGGCCTCCGACCGCACTGGAACCGGAGTGTGTGTCTGACGTTTGGTCGCTTCGCTTTAAAGGGATCAGAGAAACATTACGTTACATGCGCAGCTGGCACTTTGATTGAGATGGGTAAAAGTAAAACCACTAAATTCAAACGGCCGCAGTTCAGCACGGTGGGACTGCCGGTGAACGCTGGGAAGGAGGAAGACGCAGAGGAGGAAGACCACGGTGATGAAAGCTGTCCAGCTGCGGAGTTGCTGGAGAAAGTATGAACGCAGTTCAAAATCTGTTTTATCTCTTAAGATTGTTTTCTGTATTGTTGTTGTTTACTTAAAACATGATCAGGGACAGTGTCCGTCATTAGGTATAGCTAAACTGATCTCGGTTTTTAGTGAGTCCACCAATGAGGATTCACTTTTGGACTCTTGTTTAGGCACTTGTTGTTATGACTTGAACTTTATTATGATGGACTTTAGTGTGTGTGTGTGTGTGTGTGTGTGTGTGTGTGTGGTCCTATAATAACAGATAGCTGTGCTCTTGTGGAGCTAGAGAAGTGCAGCCGGGGACAGTTTGTGTATGATGAGCACTCTACAGGTAGTCTGACACAGGCCAGATTATATACAGTTGTTGGAGTCATGCTTTTGTGAACATTTCCACAGTTGCAGAGTCCCAGTGCAGATGTGCGAGAGTTTGCATGTGCCAGCATTTCTCGGGTGGTGCAACAGAGCCAGACCATCCCAGGTTTCCTCCAGAGGGATGCTGTGAGGCGCCTCGGGCCCATGCTGCTGGACAGCAGCCTGGCTGTCAGGGAGACTGCCACTGGAGCCCTCAGGTGAGTCAGTCAGTAATGCAGTGGTGTGATGTGGACTGCACCAACAGAACCAGGTCTGGTCACTTGAATGGCCCCTGTTTCCCAAAAGCCACTAGATGCTTTTGGGAAATTGGACCCTCCCTGCCCACAATGAGTCTGTGGCAACTACGTACACCTCCTGTCAGGGACTCTACAGACACACGAGGGTGGCAGACTGGTGACATTCAACAGGTCGGTCTGTGAAACGTCTTAGCAGGGGAAAAGGATTGAGTTTCCGATTATAGGTGAAGCAAAGTGTGTTGCTGTTGGTGTGTCCACTTAACTTGTCTTAACCTGAAACATGCAAACGTTGCATCTGAGTGTCACCACATTAAACAGATTTTGACTAACGATAGCAGAAAACATCCAGGTGGAACTAAATAACATTTTTAAAAAAGACTCGGCTCCATTTTTAGCTTCAGCCATAAGTTTCCTGCTTTTTCTGGTATGACTTTTAACCCAGTCTGCTGTGAAAAGGTTATTTTGTGGTCCAATAACTGCAGGAACTTTGAAAGTAATGCTATTATTCACATTTTTGTTTACCTCGAGTGTTGTTTTTCAGTACAGTTACATATTCAAGTGTTCCACTCCCAGTGTGCGTGATGCAGCATGCTACATGTTACCTTGTGACAAGGCTGGGTAGACTGAAGTTTCTGACCATCAGTGGCGCTATGGAGCAATGTTTTTATGACCAGGTCGCTGTTTTGTTTGTGTTGTGGATGAGTATAAGTACTCAGGTTTCATGCTATTCCACTAATTGACAATTGACAACGATACACAATTAAAAATATTAGTGTTTTCTGAGGAAGGAAATGGAGGCACACATGTTTTGGTGAGAAACACTGACTGTAAGCATAACTAGTTTGACAAGCAGGTTGATAGATTATATGGAAATGGGTCTTGTTATAGTAATCATATTAAGAATACCAGAATCAGGATAATATATTATATACATATAAACTGTCTTTTAGGGTTTATTCACCATGTGCAGCTACAATTCAGGCCAAACTGTGATTTAATATCCTGACAGCTTGAAAGCTTTCTATATGGATTCAGTGATGCCTGACTATTTAATGACCTACATGTCTCATAGCCATAATTTTCTGTTTACTTGCACACGGTGTGTATTCATGTTGGCATAAGCAGCACATGCCACTGTAGGTGCCAGTTTTGAGCAAACAACCAAAAACTTAATGTGACAGATAAATATAAGAACAGAAATAGCCTCTTGCAACAAGTAAACTTAAAAAATACAATTCCAATCAATTTAGCTTTTACAATCCCATTACAATCAAGATTACATGCAGTGGGATATGTGCGTGAAGTACAGGTATTTGTCATGTTACCTCGACAGGGGGCGCCATGCTGCAATAAGACGTGGCTGTAAGAAGAAAGAAGAAGCTGTTTTTGTGATTTTTTTGGCTCATGTTATTACTCTCTTATGACAAATTGTATACAGTTATTCACTTAATGTTTGTTTATGTGAGAATCTGATCAAGTTACATTAGTTTTACCACCAAAATGACAATCCCTACAAAAACAGACAACATTTCATTAGTGGTGATCACATTTGATTACAGTTACCATCATCCTCTTCTCAGTCAACATTTGTTTTTGTGTCCGAGTCTGCCCTTAACCCCCCGTCCGGACTACTGTCCTCCTCAGCTCCTAACCCTTAAACATGGTTCCATGTACTGTATATCAAAATAGACAGTTGCTGCCAGGACACTTCCAGGCTCACCTACACACACACACACAAACAAACAGCATCTCTAACAGTGAATCTCTTCCGACCGAATGATGAGTGTGTGTCTGGGACTGTGTCTGCCTGACAGGAATCTGAGTGCATGCGGGGGTCAGGAGGTGTGTGAGGACATGGTGAAGCACGACGTCATGACTCCTCTGACAGCACTGCTTAGAGAGGTGAGACTCCGCCACTTCTTTTAGCTCACACCATCACTTCAGTTCCTCCTCATCAGCAGCTGTTAGAGCCGGCCACGATATCCTCATCAATTAGCTTTCATTCCAGAGCAAAGATATTCACCATTTGTGAAAATGCCTGCTCCCACACTGGAACAGATTGACTCCTGGCATCACATTCAGGCTCTCTGTTGATCAACCATGTACAGAATTTGACTGAATTCATCACCTACATTCGTTTTCACACTGAAAGCCATATTTTCATGATTATAGAGTTACCATTTTAATGTTTGGATGCATGATGGCAACGTTCATACCTATCTCACTTGTGGTTTTGTTTTTGTTTTCCTTTCAGTGCTGTGCTGGTTTTGAGAGTGCCGCGGAGCCGATGAAAGACCAAAAGAATGCAGTGGAAGATGTAGCCAATGAGGCCGTAAACCTACTGTGGAATCTATGGTAAGCCAAGAGGTTGTGCAAGCTGCTTGGCGGCAGTGTGTTTTTAACCTCAGTTGCATGCAGTTCCTCTCCTGGGAGCTGCCATGTATCACCAGTCAGCTGCTGTTGCCGTTCTCATGAGGCTGGTAGTTTTCTATAGTCACAAGCCCACTTCTTGACACTCTTCCTACCATTATCCGTAATTATTTTCCCGCACAAATTATGCGTGAGGTCTTATTGCGTGCATTTGTTACTTGTCTTACATCTGTCTCTCGTATTGTGTTGTGCTTGCAGTGAGAGCAGCCTACAGGCGCTGTCTGTGTTCAACAAAGCAGGTCTCCTGGACCTGGTTGTCCAGTGTCTGGAGAGACACACACATAACGTGGAACTGGCCATATCTGCCGGTAGGTTGAATGAACTTACTGTTAAGTAGTTCAGGATAGATTTATTTCGTTTCTGAAAAACAGACCCCATAAACAGAAACGTCTCCTGTGTATACTGAAAGGGCGACAGAGCTGGAACACAGCCTGATGCTGCCTATATGATCTTACAAAGATTTAACTTATATGTTAATCATCATAGGTGTTAGCTATGTGTTACGTGGTAAACCTTTTTGGTGTGATGACAGCATGAAAACGGAGCTGACACTCCCAGCTCTGTTATGTATAAGGCGGATTACAGAAATGATTTATGGCATTACAGATTTACGTCATTGACTTCACAAATGTCCTATAATAGCTGTCACTGTACGCAGTCAGTGTCATTCCAAATAGGGCTCTCAGAAATCTTAATACAGTTGTGAGTCACAAAGGCCGTAGTAATGCCCGACCTCTAACTAATTCAACTCCTCAAGTCCGAGAGAACCGTTTTGAAGTCTCTGCTCTTTGTGTTTCGGCCAGCCCACTGTTTGCACACTGTGACTGAGGATAACCCAGAGCTGCTGTGTAGCTTGAACACTGCTGTGCTTGGGGTGCTGGAGAATGTACTGCTGTCATCTCAGCCAGGCATGGCACAAACTCTCCTCAGGACATTGGCTGCAGGTACAATTTGTCACTTGTCACGTCTTTTTAACTAGATTGTTAAAAACTGGAATTTCCTACCGTTACACAAGTTGTAAGTCACATTAAAAGTGTCCTCTGTGGACAGAAGTGCCATATAAATTCAAGAAACAAACACAGCTGTGGCTGTAATGTTTTTAATATCCCTTTTCTGAGCGCTAACTGTGCCCACTGTGTCACTCAGGAACACTGTGGAACATGAAGGGCAGTCTGCCAGCTGCTCGTCAGGCCCAGACCCTCAGCGCTGTGTTGGCCACCTTGTCACAGTGCTTGGATCTGGACACAGGTACGCTGATACCTGAACTCAGACAAGCAGAAGAGGTTCGTCACAGAAACACACCAGCTGCACCAGACATAGAAGAGCAGGCTGCAGGAGAGCTTGCTGAGGAGGAGATGGAAGAGGAGGAGGAGGAGGAAGCACCTAAACACAAGAGGAATGGAAAAGCTGTGAGAGCTGATAACGACTTCTCTGACCTCTTGCCTGTAAGTGGTGTCGCTCATACAGTTGGTTCTGTGCATTGCTGTGTCTCTTTATGCATACAGCAGGCTGTGAGCCTCTCTGA